TGCCAGGCCCCGACTCGGTGTGAGCCTGGCCGAGTCTGCGCGTTGGGCCATGCGGGTCAGTCTCGGCCATGGGCATTTCCGGGGAGAGAGGTGCTGCCGACGTGCGGATCCCCAGCCCCCGCCCCGGTCACCAAGCAGATGTGCCAGGGCGTCTGCGCCTTGACCGTGCGGGCAGGACTGTGGGGTGGCGTCTGCTGCAAGATTGTGCATCACAGTGTCCTTCTCTCTCCCAGAGGCCGGCGAGAGCTTGGCCAGCGAGTTCCTGTTCTCGGACGTGTGCAGGGTGGGGTCTGGGGAGAACTGCTCCTCTCCTGCACCCCAGGAAGGTAGGACCCCATAGCCTGCAGCCCTGCGTTAGTGCCAGGCCCCTCAGGAGGCCTAGACGTGAGGCCGGTGGCCACCGGGAAAGGCTGGGGGAGCCGAGAGAGACAGGGAAGAGAAGGCTCTGTGGGAAGAAAGGTCGGCTTCATGGATTCAGCTGGGACTTCCTGGGGGCCCACTGTCTGCCAGGGGCCGTTGTATTCTAAGACACAGTGACATGGGTTGGGGGTGGCAGGCGGGCAGGTGGGGTCACCTGAGAGCTGCTGAATGCCGGGAATAAGGATGGAACACGGAAGATAGGCACCCAGCCTCATAGTGCAGTGAGAGTATCACCAGGAAGTGACAGCTAAACCAAAACAGCGGACTATCTGGCGAAGGCGGAGGGGCAGGCATTCTGGGAGCAGCCCGTCTGAAGGCTTGGAGTAGAATACAGCAGGTTTAGGGAGATATGGTTTATGAGGAAGAAGAATAGCAAGAAATGAAGCCGGCCAGGTTGGCAAAGGGTCAGATCACGAAAGGTCTTACATGTCAGGCTAGGGAGGTTACATTTCATCCAACGGATGATTGGAAGTTGCTGAAAGGGGAGTGATATGATGAGATGTGTGTTTCAGCAAGGCCCTTCTCTCTGCAGCTGGGGAAAAGAATGAAGGTAGAAAGGTCACTGCTTTTTTCCTCCAAAAAGCAATGGACAGCCTCCAGCATAAAGCGGTTTAATCAGAGGAGCCGCTCTCGCATGCTGCCGGGTGTAGCCCCTACAACACCGCAGTGAGGAGCCTGGTGGCCTTGCCCTCGGCCGAGAGGGGAGAGGCTGTGGCTCAGGGTAGGAGCAGCTTCTCTGAGGTCAGACGCCTGCTCAGCGCTGGGCTGGAGTTGACCCCTGAGAAGGACGGGGAGTGTTTAGATTCCGAGGTGGGAGGGCAGGTCTGGCCTGGCTGGAGAAGTGAGCAGGGGGCAGTGATGAAAACAGAAGTGCCCGGACTTCCGCCTTTCAGGAGGAGGCGTGTGGCGCTCGGGCCTTCATTCCCTTCTCTCTCGCTCTGTCTGCGTTCGCAGCGCTGCTCCCGGCCGAGGAGCCGGAGCAGGACAAGGAGCACACGTGCGAGACCCTACTGATGTGCATCGTCACCGTGCTGAGCCACGGGCTGCGGAGCGGCGGCGGCGTGGGCGACGTGCTCAGGAAGCCGTCCAAAGAGGTGGCTGCGTCCCCAGAGGACCAGGGGGCGGGGGGGGGTGGGGGTGGCTGGAGCACAGACAGAAGCCACACAGGCAGCCTGGGAGCAAGGACGCATGGACGGGCAGGGCCAGCTCCTGGGGGCACCTTCCCTCTCCATCGGACACGCTGACGCCGTGCGAGGGGCTGGTCCCCAGTCACACTGGAGTGACCGTTTCCTCGGGTTGGGCCTGGCCACCTGGACACATTTCCACAACCCCCGAGCTCCCAGGAAGCTCCCTGCCCACGCGCGTCCCAGGGCACTCCGAGAATTCACAATTTATTGATTTTATTTATTTTTTTAAAATATATTTTTATTGATTTCAGCGAGGAAGGGAAAGGGAGAGAGAGGTAGAAACATCAATAATGAGAGAGAATCATTGATCAGCTGCTTCCTGCATGCCCCCTACTGGGAATTGAGCCCACAAGCTGGGCACGTGCCCTTGACCAGAATTGAACCCGGGACCCTTCGGTCCACAGGCCGACTCTCTATCCACTGAGCCAAACCGGCTAGAGCACACAACTTAGACACAGGGTATGAAAAGAGATGCAGTGGTGGCCTTCTTTTTAAAAATATATTTTTATTGATTTCAGAGAAAAAGGGAGAGGGAGAGAGAGATAGAAACATCAATCATGAGAGAGATTCATTGAACAGCGCCTCCTGCACGTCCCACACTGGGGATTGAGCCCTGACCGGGAATCGAACAATGACCTCCTGGTTCATGGGTCAGCGCTCAACCAAGTGGTGGCCTTCGTAACGCTTGACATCCTGTTTAAGTTCTGCTCCAGGAGGCTGCCGGGTGATGTGGGGGTCAGGGCGCCCCCTGGTGTTGAGAGGGGACGTCCGCCGTGATGCGGGGAGCCCTCCCGCTGCCCGGCCTGCAGAGCAGAGGTGGGGCCTGCTGACCGAGCCCCCCTTCCAGGAGCCCCTGTTCGCCGCCCGCGTCATCTACGACCTGCTCTTCTTCTTTTAAAAAATATATTTTTATTGATTTCAGAGAAAAAGGGAGAGGGAGAGAGAGATAGAAACATCAATCATGAGAGAGATTCATTGAACAGCTGCCTCCTGCACGTCCCACACTGACCGGGAATCGAACAATGACCTCCTGGTTCATGGGTCAGCGCTCAACCAAGTGGTGGCCTTCGTAACGCTTGACATCCTGTTTAAGTTCTGCTCCAGGAGGCTGCCGGGTGATGTGGGGGTCAGGGCGCCCCCTGGTGTTGAGAGGGGACGTCCGCCGTGATGCGGGGAGCCCTCCCGCTGCCCGGCCTGCAGAGCAGAGGTGGGGCCTGCTGACCGAGCCCCCCTTCCAGGAGCCCCTGTTCGCCGCCCGCGTCATCTACGACCTGCTCTTCTTCTTCATGGTCATCATCATCGTGCTGAACCTCATCTTCGGGGTCATCATCGACACCTTCGCCGACCTGAGGAGCGAGAAGCAGAAGAAAGAGGAGATCCTCAAGACCACGTGCTTCATCTGCGGTGAGCGCGGCTCCGAAAAACCGGTGCCGCGGGGCCTGTGTGTGCTCAGGAGCGGGGCTGTGGGGAGGACTTGCAATGCGTGCATCTCGGGGTCTTGTCGCTGGGGTGCCCCTTGGCCCTGAGATTAGGATGGAGCCCGTGCCCAGCTCCAGGCTGCAGGGGGTCACTGATGGTGTTGGGCCTCATGGCGGAGAGAGCCCCGTGCTGGGAGCTCAGAGCCGGGCGCTCAATGCCGGGCGCTCAATGCCGGGAGCTCAATGCCCAGAGCTCAGAGCCCGGGCGCGGAGTCAGACCGGCTCTGAGCGAGCTCCCGCCCCGACCTGCACGTCCTCGCTGTAGTCCGGTCGCATCTCTGAGCCGAGGGGCTCCCTGTGACCTGGGTGCAGTGACATGAACCCCTCCGCCTCAGGGTGGCACTCAGGGGAGCTGGCTCAGGTGCCACCCAGGCCAGGGCCACGCGGTGCGGGTGACAGTAGTGAAGGTCCCCGGGGAGAGGCACGTGGGCACCAAAGCCATCTCGGTGACTGCGAGACGTCCATGGAACCAAAGTAACCCTGTGGGACCGGGACGTCCGTGGAACTAAACTAGCCGTGCGGGACCCAGGGGCTGAGGGTTGTTCATCACAGTTACTGAATACTGTATACATTTCCTACTGGGAAGCTCCAAAATGAGCATTTTCCATTTAAAAACTTAAAGATGCTGCTTCCTTTAAAATAGTTTAATGCATTTTCTTTGACATAATTTCCAGAATTACAGAAATGTCATAAGAATAATACAGAGTTTCCATACACTGGGCCCTGGCCGGGCTGCTCAGTTGGTTAGAGCATCATCCACACCAAGGTTGCAGGTTCGATCCCTATAGAGACAGGTGTGGAGCCCAGCCCTCCTGTGGACAGACAGGCCGACGGGGCCCAGGAGCCCAGCCCTCCTGTGGACAGACAGGCCGACAGGGCCCGGGAGCCCAGCCTGCGCTGCTCACGGCCCGCCTCCCGCCCTCTGCAGGCTTGGAAAGGGACAAGTTTGACAACAAGACGGTCACCTTCGAGGAGCACATCAAGGAGGAGCACAACATGTGGCACTACCTGTGCTTCATCGTCCTGGTGAAGGTGAAGGACTCCACGGAGTACACAGGCCCCGAGAGCTACGTGGCCGAGATGATCCAGGTGAGCGGCCGGGTCCCACGCAGAACTCGGCCTCTGCGTCCACCCAGCCCTGGCCCTGGACGAGGCCTGGGCTCTGGGCCTTTGCTGTCCTCTGCGGTGACCTTCAGAAGCAGCCTTGGGCGGTGCGTCCCCACTTTAAAGGCGCAAACACTGAGGCTCGGGGAGATGAGAGCGGCCACATGGCGGCTGGGGCTTTAACGAGGGGCCACCTCTGCGCTTGGCCTCCTTCCCGATCACGGGTGTTTTTGTTTATTTTCTTTCTTTTGTGTTTTTTGCCTTAAATAAGAGCTGGTCTCTGAGAGGTGCCTTTCGAAAGTGATCGCCCGGCATAGTCCAGCATGGTTGGCGCCTGTGTTCGGACCAGCCCAGCCTTTCTGGGGGACCCAGCCTTTCTGGGGGGCCCAGCCCTCCTGGGGGACCCAGCCCAGCCCTCCTGGGGGACCACATGGTGGAGGGACCGAGTCCCCAGTTAACCTCTGGCTGCTAGGGAGCGTGGCCGCCCTGTCCCAAAGGGGACGCCGCCGCAGGCCTGAGCGCTGTTCTCAGGCTAGACGCGTGGAGGCGCCACGCGGGCCCCAGGCAGCTGTCCTTGGTGGCCACGGCGGGGGAGTGGGGTGTGCACATTAAAGGGAAAGACAGTTCCCCAGAACCAGGGCCAGACTTGGGCATCCACGCCCAGGTGACTCATCGCACGGGCGTCGCTCCCTGAGGATCACGCACTGAGCTCCCATCCATCATCCTGTAGCCTGCTGCTGGCTGTTTCTCACGCCGCGGTAGACAGCGCTCTCACCCCCTCCCTCCCTCCCTCCCTCCTTCT